TATATATATATATATATATATATATATATATGAGCTGAGTTGCCCAGGAAATAAGAGCCTTCTCTAAGTATATGAATTCTCTCTTCTATGGACTGGAAAATAATAAAAGGGAATGGGATGGGATATAATTGCATCCGAGGCCACTATTTAGATCATCAAATCACAGAATTTTAGAGCTAAAGGACCTTAGAAAACATTTACTTTAATTTGCCCCCCCCTCATTTCACAGATGACAAAACCCAACATGACTCTCCTAAGGCCTCACAACTTCAAGATGCAGAATTATGACAACAATATACCAGGGTTGGTGTGTCTGCTTGGAAACCTCCCCTAAAGCATGAGTTCAAAACTAGCAAAAAGATAGCCTTTATAAATCCAAGTTTCCAGATCAAATCACAGATGGTAAATAAAACAGCATTGGATCTGGCCTTCACAGGAAGCCAGGAAGAAGAAGCACTGCTTTAATTCTACACACAACCTCACTTTTGTGTACTATACCGACTTGGTGAAAACAACACACCCTCAACTGCAAACCACTGTGCCAACAACAAAATCTTAGAAAAACAAACATCTGTGTATATACCGAGTTTAATTTTTCAGATGTTGTGGAAAATGCACAGTTACACATAAGCGTAAGTCATGAAAACACTTTCTCTTTCCCTTACTTTGCACATTCCTCAGACAGTTCATCTCATGTATTGCTCAAGAGTCTGACCAATTTGGACGGAGATAGAATACCTGTGTGCCCAGCCTCTGGCCGCTGGGTTGTAGAAGAGGTTCGAGATTGCACACTCCTGATGGTATCCCCATTAAAGTCCAGCATGTCCCTTGTGCTGCTGTACTTGGCCTGCATCTGGACTCCTGCAGGGGTGAGGTTGAGCTGTAGCTCGACGGCCCCCAAGCTGCGTGGCTACTTTGAGACAGTGTAGGAAGTACGGTGCTGAAAGTCATTCCTAATGTTCTCTCCCAGCGAGTAGCAGGGGAAGCCTCTGACTCCAGTTCCTGCTTAGAGAGGCCCAGCCCCTCTCCTGGGAACTTGTACTCTGAAGGTCAAATTGGTCAGGCAGAGGGGAAATAGCATGTGTTTTCTATTTGGGCAGTCTCTTTCTGAACAATTATTGAAGAGTTGTCTTTCTCGGATCTCTTTTGTTCATTTATTTGTAATTCCTGTGTAAGTACAGTATAAAAAAGGCAAGACCCTATAATCACACAGAGATTCCTTCAGACTCTATGGAGCAATAATCAGGCAAAGAAATACATATCACCTAGTGTCTTATATACCAGACACTCACTGAGTCACTTAGATGAGGTTTAACTTCTGAAAAGAGATCATAGGACCAGCCTCTTCTTTCCTGCAAAGGCATAGTATAAAGCATCATATACATGGAATGTCAGCACAGAGTCTTTTTGAGAATATCTATCGATTCTACTTTTTCATTTTACAAAAAAGTAGATTGAAGCCCAGTTAGATGAAGTGGTTGTTTTAAGGTCACATAGCTGCTTAGTGACAGTATTAGCTTCAAAAGTGTTCTCCTGTTGGATTTCTCCAGGAACAAAGGAGCTGTCAGGTGCCATTTCCCTCCCCTGCCCCTCAGCATAAACAACAACCGCCTGCAGAAACCATTGTGGTGCCTAATTTGCACACACACACACCCCTAAACCCTAACATCCCACCCCACCCACACTGCTTCAGAAGATCTGCCCTTTCTAGTTATGCTCACCTCAGTCTTAGCACTGCAGGTGCCCTCCCCTAGAAGACCAGCACAAGCCTGGCCAACACCCAGTCTCCTGCCCCCACACACTTTGCAGGACCTTGGGCCAGCTTTGGTAGTGACAGTGGTAGCAGTGAGTCCCACAGAAGACCAGTTGTTAACACTGTGTGCCCTGCCCATGCATTCTTTACAGATCTGCCCTAGTCAAGGGAGTAGTGGTGGCCGGTCTCACTTTGCAAGCAGACCAGTATGCACCCTGTGAAAACTGTGGACCCTGCTCTGGCTAGTGTGAGAGGCAGTGGCATGTTTGCTCCAATACACTCTTGGGCAGAACCAATTCAAACTGGAGCCACAAGGCTGGCAGTGTGCAAGCAGCCCCAACAGGGGCCAGCATCAATCCAAAGTGACACCTGCCCTGGAATAAGAGGAGATAAACACATACACCAATCAGAGGGCTGCCCCAGCCATGGGCTGGGGGCAGACAGTGGGTTTGATTGTAGGCCCCGCTCACCAGTGAAAACTACTCAGGGAAAGTGCCTCGCAATTTGCTGCTACTGCATCTCTAACAAATATCTAGTCTGACTCAATTGAAGCCCAAGGTGGTCCCAAACGGGTCCACTAACACCACAGGGACCAAACACTGCCCACAACAGGGAAAGAGAGCTAGATGACTGGACTGAAGGAAAAGCAGTCAAGACTCAAAAGCAAGGCCCACACAACACACATAGGAGACACCTCTGAAACACCAGGCCATACTTTCAAGAGAAGGAGATGTAGCTGACTTCCCTAACACACTGAAACAGACACAGAGAGTTAGACAAAATGAGGAGACAGAGGAATATGTTCCAAATGAAAGAATAAGACAAAACCACAACAAGAAACCTAAGCAAAATAGATATAAGTAATATGCCTTAGAGAATTTAAAGTAATGATCGTAACTTTACTCATAGGACCTGAGAAAAGAGTGGAGGACATCAGGAGGGGGCGGAGCAAGATGGCGGAGGAGTAGGAGACCTAGATTTCGTCTGGTCTCAGGAATTCAGCTGAATAGGGATCAAACCATTCTGAACACCTACGAACTCAACAGGAGATCGAACAGGAGAGTAGCAACAACTCTCTGAACAGGGAAGCGACCACTTACTGGAAGGTAGGGCGTGCGGAGAAGTGAATCCGAGGCGATATTCGGGAGGATAGACGGCGGGGGAGGGGCCTCCGCCGGCCGCTTCTGGCAAGTGCTAGAGCCGCGGAGCACAAAATCGGACCTTTTAGAAGTTGGCTCGGCGGAGGGACATTGCTGCAGTGGCTAAGCGGGGGTGGAATCCTCCCCCAACAGTGTGGTCTCAGGACCCTTGGGGTCACAGAGAGACCGGGGGTTCCTGAGTGCGCCAGAGCTCCCAGGTATCAGAGCGGGGAAGCCGGCTGCAGAGACGGAGCCGAGGCGCGGGCTCTCAGCTCGGGGTTGCCATAAACGGTGATCTGCGGCCCAGTCGGGGCACGGCTCCCCCAGCAGGGACCCAACAAGCAGCAGATCCGGGGAGACTCCCCTTCCTTCCCGGGGAGGAGCGGTGCAGGAACGCACTGCAGGGATCTGCTGGGTTTGGAGACTCCGTGCGGGGTTGGGTGCCAGAGATAGCAACGCTTGATCACAGGCCGGGTGAGCACGGAGTGCGGCCGGAGACCGGGGACACGGGAGTGACTGCTTTTCTCTGGGGGCACACTGAGGAGCGGGGCCCCGAGTTCTCAGCTCCTCCGGGTGGAAATTGGGAGGCCACCATTTCTGCCCTGGCCCTCCAAAGCTGTACCGAGAGCTTGCAGGGAACAAAAGCTCCTGAGAGCAAACCGGAGCAGCTTCCTTAGCCCGGACCGACAAGGGCGGGGCAATTCCGCCTCCGGCAAAGACATTTGGAAACCACGGCAACAGGCCCCTCCCCCAGAAGATCAGCACAAACAGCCAGCAAGCCAAGACCAAGTTGATCGATCAAGGAGAATGGGAGAACTCCAGCACTAGGGGAATACTGCACATAGATTCATGGCTTTTTTTTTTTTTTTTACCATGATTCATTATTTCATCAAAGTTAATTTTTGTTGACTATTTTTTTTATTTTTCTTTTTCCCTTTTTCAACCAACATCTTATCAAT